GTATAAAATTAAGTGGGCAGAATCTTTCTTTAGGTCTATGAATGTGCATAACTTCTCTTCATTGCTAAGTCAAGTCGTTCATAAAAGCAACTTAAATGAGAGGGAACAGCTCTAAAGTAAAAGAGAGGAGATTTAAGTTAGATGTTATGAAGAAATTATTAACTCAGAGGGCAGTGAAGTACTGGCACAGGTTTCCCAGAGAAGCTGTGAATGCCCCATCCCTGGAGGCATTCAAGGCCAGGTTGGATAGTGCCCTGGGCAGCCTGGTCTAGTGAGAGGCAACCCTGCCCATGGCAAGGGGGGTTGGAACTGTGTGGTCTTTAAGGTCTTTTCCAATCTCAGCCATTTTATGATTCTATGATTCTTTGATAGCTAATTTGCCAGATAATTACGATGTAGGAGTAAATAAGTTGTTAAGTTAGACAGTCTGATTGCTGAGGGTACATAGATCACATTTAACTAGTGCAGTCAGTTGTGTAGTGAATACAAAGTAAAGAAAAATGAAGGGAGTGGCTAGGTTTTTATATTCATCTTTGAGTGGGAACAAAAATTTGCCTTTTTTTGCTAATCAGAATTTTCTAGGACTCTTCCTTTTTAGAATTACATCACAAGGAAATTTTATGAATTTCAGGATGAAGAGAAGCAAGGTTTTAGAAGGCAGCCAGTAGTTTTTGTTCTTTGCAGCTCTCTGCTTTCTACCAGTCTGTCTCAATCTATCTCATATATAATGGGTGTGTTTCTGCCACTCCTGCTGGGAGAACTTCATAGTCTGACAGACTTGTCATCGTGTCCTGGTTTCTACAGGGACTGAGTAGCTTAATTCCACTTTACTTCACTGTGTAAGCTATACATATCATACATGAACTTCTTCCTGAAGGAATGGAAAATACTCATGGTTTTGATTCCCACTGAACCAAGTGGGTACTGCCCAGTTCAGCCCCTTAGCACGTGCCCTACTCTGTTAGATGGAACAACTATTTACAGGAAATGTTAGATTTGTTGTGATCCAGATGTGATTCACGACTTTTCATTATCAGAATTCATCTGTCAAGCCTTGTTCATGGATTGTGATGGAGGAAAAGGTGTGCAGTACTAAGAAGGCAAAAGAATGGATTTAATTCTCAGATTAAGTTTCACAAGCTTTATCGTTGCTGCACATGCTCTGCACTGCAACAGCTGACTGTGAGAGTAATTGAAGTGGTAATTAAAGTGTAATTAGACTTGATCCATTGATGTAGATCAGCTTGGTTTCTGTACCAAGGTCATTTGAGTATGTGCCTAAGACAACTTAGATAAGCAAAGGTTAGATGTTTGGAAAAGCTCTTCTGTGGCACAGATAGTTAAGCAGCAGAACTGTTTTCTGATACTGCTGTCACTGCAGATCTGGAAGACATGAAAATGTTAAAGGAAGGAAGAATTGCTTTCTTATGGGTAGATGTGACTTCCAGCTATAGGATTCAGAGGCCCATAAAAGAAGTTGCTTGCCCTAAGCCATGTAGCTGAAGTTCCATCAGAAGCCTGTAATAGAGGAGAGAATCTAATCTTTCTCAAATCCTGATGCTCTCTTAAACATAATATTTGATCCACAGTTTTAGTTTATGGTATTTTCATTATTTTTTCAATCTGTCTGTCACTATTTATATTTCTGACCTACATACATATAGTTCTCTGTGAATTCAATTTAGATTCTTCTCATGCAAATTCTGCTTTTGCTAAAAATGTGGTTGTGGGAAGACCATCATAAACAATATATGCATTTTGTTTGAGTTTGTTCATTTTGAAGGGAAGTAAAATTATTATTTGCCTCCAAACTTTAAAAAATGTAGAAGAGAGTACATATTTAGTATTATAAGCAGCATCTATCATTCCTGACTCTTTATTTACATGGGCATTTGGAGAGAATAGCTGGGAAGGGTATCCTTGCAGGTGTTCCTGACAGAGTCTCTCCTGGTGTTATTCCAGTCATGCATGCACTTTGGGGCAAATATGATCTTAATTTCAAAGTCATGTGTTTCTTATTAGTTTTGCTTCATTGTATATTTTCATTTTAATTTCATTTGGCCTTTATTTTCTAACAGAAAAGTTCTATAGAAACTAGAAAATAAATTAAAAAGGATCACTGACACACTAGGAGACACACAGCTCAATAACTCATTAAGGTTTAGAGATGGTTATTACATATATTTTTATTCACAACATGCGAAGTGCGAATTCTCCATCTCTCTTTTGACTGTGCAATGTCAGTAAAATGGATTATGTTTTTTTCATTGCACAGGATATATTGTCTACTAGAATCCATGAAAATAAACACAATAAAAATTGTAATGAAATGTTATTGTATAGAATAATTATTTGCTTTTAAAGTCTTACTATTTCAGCTGTACTAATTGTACAAGCTGCAGAGTTCAATTTTTTTTGAGAAAAAAAATTAGGAACATGTTTGAATTATTCATGTTTTGAAAATGGCCTGTATGACAGCTATTTTCATAACTCATTTTTACTGCAAGTTTAGCACATACCAAAACTCCCACCGAATTGAGAAATTAGAATAGTTATGATTTTACCTAAAGTATTCTCATGCTTTCTTTTAAAGAAATATCTCTCTTGTTAATATATTGCACAGTGTCATGAATGGGGAAATATAGACCCATGTTATCATATAAAGCTTTTATTCAGCAGGCTACAAGAATTTATTCTCTTTAGCATGAACTATCTTGCTTTCTAATTAATAGATTTTTAATCTCTATTTCTCTCCAGGAAAAACCCAGACCACACATAAATGATACTTTCATAATAGATGGCTAATAAACTAGCAACAAAAAGAACAATATTAAGCCTGGGATATTTTTTTCTGTTTTTTGCCTATAGGAGGGGAGAATCAGAAAATAAAGCTATCATCTCACTATTGTCTTTGTTCTCCCTCCGAGGACCACATGGAAATCTTTTGTTAAAAAAGTCTTAAGTACCCCGGGTGCAAAAGAGTAAGAATTGAAAGAATTTTCTATTCAGGGACTCAAGTTGCTCAGTGTATGCAAATTAGCCTGGATCTTGGTTCATGCTTCTCACAGTCTGAATCCAAACACAGTTAGCAGCTGGAACACTAATACCCTTCTTGGAAGAATTAAGCTAGATCTATATTTATTCAGCATTTTTTTCAGGAATCTTTTTTATGCAATCAACAAGGATAATTTACTTGCAGCTTGCTGCTCTTCTATTGCAGTAGCAATGTTGATGTCCCTGAGTACCCCCAAATTAATAATTTCTTGATATATGCTAGGTTATATTGCTCTTTCCTGACCAAATAAACTAATTTAAATATGTTGCTTGTACTACACTTGGATGTTGACCCTAGTAAATTGTGGTGACATCCAGAAAATTACTTATTAGGAAAAGGTATTTAGAATAAATGAGCTAGATATTGAAGGAGCAAATGTGCTATAAATCTCATTTTTTATGTGTTTGATTTAATTTAAAGTCTCAGTTCTGGTCCGTCTTCATTTGGATATTGCTTTCTTCTTAAAAGGATTTTGAACAAAATATACATTCACCTGCCATGGTATTTTGAATATGCTCTTACCTTTGAGACACCTTAGATGTAGGAAAGTAAGAAAACCATACTTGGCATAACAGTATATATATATATATAAACATATATATATATATATATAACAGTATATATATATATATATATATAAACAACAACAGCAATAACAAAGAGAGAAAGAGAAAAAGAAAGAAAGAAAGAAAGAAAGAAAGAAAGAAAGAAAGAAAGAAAGAAAGAAAGAAAGAAAGAAAGAAAGAAAGAAAGAAAGAAAGAAAGCAATTCCTAATGAACAACTTCTATACATTTAAATAAATAAATAAATAAAATCATGTGCCATATGGCAATTATGCCAAAAGACTGAATTTATTACCAAATAAAACTGCTGGCATATGCATTTCACAGTTTCCTCCATTCACAACTAGTGTGTTTTTAGAGGTTTTCCATAGGGTTAGTTGCCCAGACTTCTGCAAAAACAACAGTTTTTCCTTATTGCAGGAGGTGTTAGGAAATCAAATCCAACTGGAGCATCAACTGAGTTACAGGCTGGTTTTGTCTCAGCTGCATGGCACATGCCAAGTGGTGATTTTTCAGTGCAGACATTCAAAGAAATGAATACAAAATTCTATTTGTTCTCTTACTGAATGAATTATCCTTATTGTGTTGTTTTGTTGTTATTTTTTTTTTTTTTTGTATTTCTATAAGATACTTAATATTTCAGCACTTTTCACTTTCACCACAGTGAAAATATTTTTACACATCACTTTTTCTTTTGATAAATAATCCTTTAACATCTTCAGATGTGACTTGTTTCATTGTCACTGTCATTTTATCAAATGAAATTATTTACATATAAAGAGGTATATATATAGATATATATTTATCTATGTGGGAATTTGAAAATTCCTGTGCAACTTCTTCTACTGTTTCTTGGTCTCTGTTAACTTGCTAATGAATACTCACAACCAAACATGATTTTGAGTCTTTAAAAATATTTTCTTAATATCTGAAAATTTGTGCCATCAATTTCCTTTAAAATCTATACTTTTAATTAAGTCATATTATAAAAAGATTTCTTTTCTTCCTTTCTCTCTCAACCACTGCAACCATTCATCTATGAAAGTGGATGTTTGCATCCATCTCAGATCAGATTTGTTCTCTGAGGTCGTGAGTCTGTGATGCTGTTAACATGCCTTTAGCATGCATATTTAGACAATGTTTATATAGACCTTTCAATATAACTTGCATCCAAATTGCTAAACATTTTTTTTTTTTTTTTTTTTTGTGCAGACACCTACTGAATGAACTTTCTTGGTGTTTTACAGTGCTTACTACAATCAAATTCTATTGCAAAAAGAGGGTGAAGGGGTAAATTAGAAGACATGAGATCTCCATGTTTTCACTTGGCCAGGCATGGTGACTGTCACAATTAAGTTGGAAGAGGTCCTTGAGAGGTGAGGGGGAATCCTTCAGCAAGAACAATGGTGTTTTTATTTGGCAGTAGGGGAAAAGATGCAAGGGAACACAATTGAGCTCCATAACCTTGCACGGAATGGCTTATTCAGCTATGCTTGTTCACCAGTATTTCATTCCTGTTGCTGTGATTGGCATGGAGGGGAATACAGGAAAATGAGTCCACAGAAGCTCTCTTTACCGGGACAACTTACTTATCTATAAGCTGTCAAGCTCACCAACAGCTAATGTCAGTATATTAAACTGTTTCTGAACGTATTCACACAGCTTACTTGGGAGACCAGTTCTATGAAAAACATCCCTTCCTTTTTTCTCTATATCTTTGAATCTTTTGCCTCTCTCAGGCATCTCCTAATTTGCCTTCCTTGGCATCTGATGTCAAGGAAATAGTATAACGTGAATTTGTGAACAATATTTTCAGCAAGTTCACACTGATATAGAATTTCCCTGAGAGGCAACATTAATAATGGGTTGGCACAACACATTTGCTGGAGTGGATTTGATGCCTTGATTGAGTTTCCGTGGTGCGTTTGTTGTTGCTTTGGGGAACGTGTGGATATTGGGTTCAACAGACCATAGAATTTTGAATTAACCTCTCTTTTCCTCTTCATGAATATAATGGCTTCACAATCTGTTCCTGCCTTGGCCTTTCATTTAAGGGAAAGAAGAGAAGCTTTAATTAAAAAAAAAAAAAAAAAAAAGAAAAAAAAGAAAAAAAAAGGATTTTTGAGAGCATTGTGAGGAAAAATAAATACACATAAGGAAACGTTGATTCATAAGAATTTCTTAGGTTACTTTCCCTCAAGAGCTTCCTACACTGATTCACTATAAAATATTCAGTTTAGCCCTGAAGTGTAAAAGATGAAAACCATTAGCACTAAGTTCAGAAATGGCAGCTTGAGTTACACCCACTGTTTAGGAGAAGCTTATGACGAATTTGAGAGACTCCTGGATAATTTTCAAGATTTCTCTTGAACCCAGTCAGGGGTCTCATTATAGATAAAGGTCTCTTTTTATGGGAGTTGTAATTGAATAAAGAAATTTTAGAAGATTAAGACTGAGGGGCAAAAAAAAAAAAAAAAAAAAAAAAAAAAAGCAGCAAACCAACAGAAAAGAATAATTTATTTTTCATTTTTCATTTTTATTCCCTGATGCTGTGTTCAAAGAATGTTTTGATTGTTCTTTTTCAGTTAAGTAGAAATTTGCTCTCAGGGTTTCAAAACAGTAGAGAAAAAAATCTGATCTTTACATTATTTCCAAAGCTGAAGAAGGTTTATGTTTTTGTTTTGGTTTTTTTTTTTTTTTGTGGATGAATTTGAATCCACTCTCCTGAATTTGAGAGTGGATAGTGGATGAAAGAAAACAGTTACTAGCGGCTATATATGCACTGGTAAAAAGTGTGCTCAGGGTTAACAGAAATTTGATGTAACAAAACTAACACGGTGTTTTGTAAACTGAGGCAGAGTGTGAGCATGAAATTTATGTTCCTGCCAAAGAATGTTACCTTCTTTGCACATCATTTTTGATCCCTACATTGTTACATTACAAAGAATATAAGCACTACATTTACTCTTTATCTTCAATATTTCACCATATGTTTACTCCTTAAGCCATTTGCATATCAAGAAACATAATCAAGATATTTTAATTCATTAGATGCATACTTTAGCTCAATTTCACAGCATTTTCATTGTTCATCTCAGAAGCATATGTTTATTTGTAAGCTTTTAGTTTAAAATAATAATAAAAAATACCCTGGAAAAAATAAGATTAGTAAAAGTTTTTGTTTTATTTTTAATGAAACATATGAACTGTTTTTCAAGTTTACTAGTTTAACCCAACCTTAGCAGCAAGACATTGATATAATCCTCAATTATTTCTCTAACTATATGATGTCCATGATTACTAAGGATAAATAAAGCCTTTTCATACTTTGTTTCTGAGATCCTTGTTCGAAGTTGTGTAGGTTTTAGACAGCAGTTTAAATCTGGGAAAGTTAAATCAACCTTAGGGACAGACTGTCTGTACTTCAGACTTGCAGTGAATAATCTGTTTATAATTTACTTGCTCTAAGAATTAGCTCAACTAATACTGATCATTGTTTAGCTCTTAAGAAAACAACATTTAAGGCTTTAAACATTTTTAATCCCTAACAGACACTCTCAAAAGTAAGAATTTCCTTCCTTTGTTTATGAATCACTACATCCAGAAAAAAAAAAAAAAAAAAAAAAAAAAAAAAAAAAAAAAAAAAAGATAAAAGTTTTCCGCTTTTCATTGGTTATTGAATGCTGCATGATCTTGTTTTCCAGATTTTCTTCTCTCTGTTTTAGCTCCATTGTTGCTGACAGCAACAAGCAGTAGCTGTCTTTGCAGCAACACTACCTTTAAGTACCCAAAGCACATGAAGAGTAAGTGGCCCTGCTGTTTTATTATCAGCTGACTTACTTAATATTGTCATTGAGTCACAGAATCATAGAATGGTTTGGATTGGAAGGGATATTAAAGATCATCTACTTCCAAACATTTTGCCATAGGCCGGGTTGCCACTCATGGTATTGGGTTGCTCAAAGCCCCATCCAAGCTGGCCTTGAACATCTCCAGGAGTGGGACATCCACAGCTCCTCTGGACATCTTGTTCCAGTGCCTCACCGTCTTCCCTCTTTTATTTTAAAACTGTTACCTATCCTATCATTACACTCTTAAAAAACTCCATTTCCATCTTTTCTTTAGGCCTCCTTTAGACACTGGGAGGCCAAGGGATCTCCCTGGTGTCTTCACTTTTCCAGTATGAACAAGTGGAGCTCTCAGTCTTTCTGACCAGCTCTCTTTTAAAGCAAACCATGATATGGTTTGGGCTGCAAGTGCACACTGCTGAGTATTTCATCAGTCAAAAAACCCCAAATCCTTCTCCTCAGAGATGCTCTCAATCCATTCTCTGCCAAGCCTGTATCTGTGTTTGGAATTGCTCTGACCTGACTCAAGACCTTGCACTTGGACCTGCTGGATTGTTTGTGAGATAACAACCAAACATTCCTACTCTTCTTTTTCTTTTGCCTGTGCTCCTTCCATCTCCTCAGACAAGAGTCAGAATTGGCTGACAACTAGACCTTATTTTCTGAGTGGCCAGTTACCCTTTACTCTTAATTAGGGTACAGAGAGCTGAGAATTCCAAAAACTGTAAAAATATATGAAACATTTCTTTAAAACTGTTCTTCCCAGTATTTTTATCTCTACTGTAAAAGTGACAGAGGGAAATTTTAGCAGAAGTTATTATGTTGCCAAGTCCACATAACTGTATTTGATTTGGGAATCCAGCTCCTTGAATGACACAAAATGGAGGCAGCTTTGGTATCAAATCAGTCTGCTTTTTTACACTCAAATTGAAGGTACTTAGCTTGTTACCATATGGAACAAAAGTAATTACTAAGGATGAAAGGAAAAAGCAAGACAATTAGAATGCTTGATGTTTGTCAAAAAGCAAGCTTCTATACCTCAGAATGCTGTAATTCAGGTTTCATGATGAGGGTTTGTGGGAATGCACCAGAAGTAGTGATTTGAAAGATTTATTCACTTACTGCACTGACAAATGCAATGGAAACCTGTTCTGAGACTTGCTTTATACTCAATTGCTTCTTGTAACTGATTCATTTATCAGAGATTTGACTAGAAGGAACTCAGTGTAACATATTGATGTGAATCAGTGCAGAATGAAATATGTTGAATTTCATAGGCCTGCCTGTACAGCAGAGCTGATTATCTCTGTATCTTAAATACCAGGCATTTTCTTTATTTGCACCTGTTTAATTTGATCTTTCTGTAGTAGTAAGGTAATTTATAAAGTTATATCGAAGGAATAATTTTAGATACACGGGAATAGTGTAAAGAGATTGCTCATAATTTCCTGTCTTATGTAAATTGTGTCAAGGTTACAAGAGGAGCTTTTTTTCTTTTTTTTTTTTTTTGTGCCAGAATACTTTAAAAAAATGAATATGTTTTAGAGCATTTTTTCATGTTCTGTGATCTAGCTTCAGTAAGAGTAGTTCTTCCATACAACACAACTCAGGTTTACACGTACATTCTTTCTTTGCTCTTCTTCAGGGACCCTTCAATTCTAAAAGCCGTGAAGAAAATGGTCTCAACAAAAGTCCCAGAAGAAGAATCTGGGAGTGACCAAACAGAGAGAATAGGTTAGCAGTCTTCAGTCCCTGTGGTCTTTATTAGGTACTTTGATTTCACCAGGTATGCAACTCAGTAAGCAGTAGGGGCCATGTTAGACCCTTAGCTACGACGGGTTCACTAATCTTGAGTGAAAAATTCCTTAATATGGAACAGAACTCTCATTTGCCTGGGTTTCAGTCTGTGCTTTTCCCCAAACTCAGGAAATCGCCTGATTTTCTTCACCTTCCTTTATATGTTGATTCCTCTTCATGGCACAGTGAATAGGATTGAGTACTTCAGAATATGAGAAATCTGGAATCCCTATGTATTTCAGAAGTTTCTATTTATAGGATTTATGGTTATTTTCTTGAATAATCTTTTCTAATTTGAGGGTCATTAATATGTAAGTAATGTGTGTACACACGGCTATGCTATTTTTATCTAATATCCTTATCTTGCCACAACATTTTACATGAATGTAAGGTTTCCATGATATTCTCCAGTGAAATTTGCATATATATAGATAAGAAGATGGAAAATTTAAATTGAAAATGTGCTTTTTTAAGTCTTTCTTATCCAGGAGAAGACATGAATAAATTTTATGTAGCATATTCATAAAATATTGTCTATTAGAAGTGGAATGATAGAAATATCTCATATTTGCATCTTAAATTAAAAACAAAAATGCATTGATAAATATATAAAATATAATACTGGAATTATGATGAAAAAGTAAAGCAAAAGAAGTTAGGATACACACAAAAAATAGTTGTTTTGTAGTTGACCTGAGTAACGTAAGAGTTAACTCACTAGCTGCCAAGAGAGCTGCATTACCTTTTTTGACTGACCTGCATG